TCTGACCAGTAATTAATTAAGAGGGGATCAGGCTGATAATGCCCTGTAATCCCTTCTCTCCCATCATTTTGCTCAGTAATCCTTTTAATGCTGGCAACTCGGGGGTGGGAAGTGGCGGGGGCTGCAGAGGAAGGGAAGGCTGAGTTGTTGTGGTGCTGAGCGGGCAGAGCAATGGGAGAGCATCCCTCTGCTGCCCCACGGGAAATGTCCTGAACTGGGGGCAGCTCACTGGGTGGCATGGGATGGGAGAATTCACCAAAGGAGTGAGGAAGAGGAGAGGGGCAGATGGCTGAATCCTTCTTTTTCCAAATTCCCACCGATTTTAGTTTAACCTCAAGGTGTCCACTGTGCATCACGATGGCATTTCTACTACCCCCCAAAAAAAAGCACTTGACAGTCAGGTTTCTGCAGTGACCCTGCTTGGGAAATCCCTGATTTGCCTCCAGCTCCGAGCCATCTTTCCAACGAGGATGCTCCACCAGCGCTCCCCATCACCGGGGGACCCAGAGAGGGCAGCCACCATCCGCAGGGGTCTGATGGCTGCGGTGGTGCCACTGTCAGCAGCACGGAGAAGGTGGGGAAAGAGCCCCAGGTGTGGGGCAGGACTGGGGACTTGGCAGCGAGAGCAGAGCTGCTGGTGGGGTTGGGTGTGTAGGAGGAGGGTGGTCAGAGATGGTGGATTTGGGGCGGAAGAGGTTTAGGAAAGGAGAAGGGCGGTGTTTGATGTGCCAGCGACAGCTGTAACAGCCCTGCACTTCCATATGAATTAGCCACCAGGAGTGCTGCAAGCACTGACCCTCCTCTCCTGCCAGGTCAGAAGGAAAATGGAGGGTGTTGCCAGCACACACGGCAAAGTGTTTGGGCGTTGAGAAAGCCCAGGGCTGCCAGCACCACATCAACATCCAATTTACAGGAAAGTCTTTCACCTTCCACAGCCCAACGTCCCCATCTCCCTCTGACTCGACTTCTAAATACTTTCTTCCCCGACAGCTGGGAGAGGAGATGTGAACCTGCCGATTACAGGGACTAAGTGGGTCTGAAGGGCCTTTTGTTTGATCAGAGCCACAGTTATTACCCCTGACAGTCACAGGCAAGGAAGTCTCCAACGTGTGTTTGACTGAGTTAAGGTGCCTTTGATGCAAACTTCTCTTCATCCCATTTAAGCTGCAGATCATTTCCATTCGCAGTGAGGGGAAGCTAAATAATTCAGTGCCAGACAGCAGCATCGATACAGCTGGAGGAGTGGGATGGCTTTACCTATCAGGCAGCATGGCCTCGTCTGCTGAAGGGAGGGAGATTTGGGAGAAAAAACATCTCTCTGGGCTGGGTGGAGTTTGGACCCACAGTAACACGTTTCGATGGAGCAGCTACAAAAGTACACGTGATGCTTTAGAGACCAAACGAGGGCCATTTGCTGTCACAATCCCTAAATCCCCCCTCTCTGAGTGTTTAGTAACGCAGATGTCTATAAAGCAAATGCCAGCTGATTATCAGAAAACATATTTGCTGAGCATGAACAACTTTGTAATAATCAAACACTGCAAATAAACAGTGACTCCATGCTTTTGTAACTTCAGAGACTGGGTTTATAATCTGCTGCGCACCAAAATTATAACTAAGTGTGGAGTAAACCCTTCTGCCTCCAGATGACTGGTGCAAATCCAAGCTGGGTCCCTGGAGCTGCTGTTGTCCTGTGGCTCCTACCTTGCTCCTTTGGGGATGGAGGTGGAAATCTGTTTTCTGGGCATTGGGTTTTGTGTTCCTCCCTCCTCTGGCTGTGGATGGTCACAACCTGGCCACCAGCCCACAGGGCCTGAGGGCTGGGAGCCTTCCTCCAGCCCGCTCCTTGCATTGCAGAGATGAAGCATGATAAGGTGAGCATGGGCTCACCTCCTAAAGCAACTGAAGAAGCCTCTTGCAGGTTTGCTGCTGTTCCTAGATGAATGAGCATCTTCTGGTCCAAATGGGTCTGTCTTCTTCAAAGCAGCCACCTGTGGAAGTCCTTTGCCAAGACCCCTCTGTACACAGGTAGGAGCACACAGGCTTCAGCTCATCCAGGCTTTGTGCTAAATCGTGGTCTGCTGTGGGCTTTTTTTTTTTTTTTTTTCCTATGCATCATTTAAAATAGCACAGAGAGTTAAGCATCTGCTTTAAAATAGCTTTGTTAAAAAAAGAAAAAGCTTACTCCCCATGACAATCAAAGAGAGAAAGAATAACCTCCCGGCAGCACCCGCTAAGTTATAGACGGAGGGGACCGTGTGAGGAATAAACGCGGTGCCTTGGCTTGACACTTCTGACAGGGTCAAGTTTTCCCCGCACCGTAATGAGGTCTTGTTAGGAAAGTGGGAGCGGTGAGCGATGCTCTTTTCTCTTGGATCTCTGCATTTCAAGCTACCTGCAGCAGGAGTGTGGTTGGGGATGGGAAGGAGAAAAAAAAAATTGATGCTTTAGATATTTCTACCTTGGGCTGCGATGTTCTGAGGATGCGGCGGTGGAGGAAGAAAAGATGGGGGCAGGAGTAGCAGGAGGCCAGGCAGGCTCCAGGAACAATGCACGTCTTCCCCCCTTTCTTTTCTGCACCAGTCTTTGTTGGTGCTTCCGTCTGATGTTTTAGCTTCGAGTTCCCGTGATGAGGAACCTGGGAGATGCGTTGGCAAAAGCTTTGCTTTCCTGGCAACAAGAAGGCTGTGCAGATCTGGGGGCTCTTGTGGCATCTAAGTGGATGGGGAGGGGGAAGGACTCCAAACTTCCAATCAAGCCCTGCCAGCTCTCTTCCATTCGAGAGGAACGAGGCTTCGCCTTGTTAAAGGCAAAATGCGAGTGAGAACGGGCAGCGTGCCAAGAGCCATTTGAGAGGCAGGTGAGACTTTCTGAAGTAAGAAATATCCATTCCACTTTAAATTGAAGTGCGTTAAATAAGGATGCTGTTTAGAGCTAATAAGGCAGGCAGCGAGCTGGAGAGCACAGCTGGGGTTACGGCTCCCGGCTGGCGCCGTGGCCCCAGATCCGGATTCGGCCGCGGCTCTCGTCGTGTCCATGGCAATGAGCTCCAGGCAGGTGTTGCCCTACTTCCTGGGCATGCACATCGGTCAGGGAAGGCACGCTTTGCTTGGCTTAGGGTTTTTTTTGGAGCTGTTGAGCCCTAGGGTGGGAGGCATGGGGGCTGCAGAGGGCAGGGTGAGAGCGCACAGGGGGACAGGGGGACGAGGAAATCTGCAGCGCTGCTCTGCAGCACTTGGGCTTTCCACGTAGGGATGGGGAAAGCTGGCACAGCACCTGCTTTTATTTGGGTTTTCTCTACCCTCAGGCCCTAACTCTGAACATGAGAACTGCTCTCCTTTTTTTTTTTTTTTTTTTTCCTCTAATCTCTCTGCTTTTCAAAAATGCTGGAACGTAAAAGAATAGATGCAAATTAACACATAAATCCAGTTTGGAGGGTGCCACCAAAGGAACAGGTACTGCATAGTAATTAAAGAACACGGAATTCTCTGTGAGATGTTTGTTAGAGCGCTCTAAATAGCCAATTGCTATTTCTTAAATACACAGTAATGACTGTAACTGGACACAGTTTGGCTTAGAATTTAATAAGGCCTTCCTGGAGAGTCTATTAGATCACCAGGAGGTCAGCGGGATGATCTAACAGCAGTACGTGTCTGCCTGCCCTGTGGTTTTGCCCTAGAAGTCTGCACAGCTTTCCCAGGTCGATGGGGAAGGGGCAGGGTACACGACATGACCTCATGCTCTGGGGGGGGCTCAGTCCCCCTGTGCTGTGGCTTTGTCCAGCACCCTGGAGCACTCCCTTGATGCCCCAGGCAGAGAAGCGAGGTGTAGGATTTGTGGCCTGTGATTTTTTGGTTGTTGCTGGTGAGCCCCATGCTCTTTGTAGCCTCTGCACCAGGAGAGCTGGCAGCACCCCTGTGGTTGTTTCACCCCCTTCACCACATTATACCAGCTTCCTGAGGTCTGCTCTTGCTGAGCACTCCTGCCGTCATCGTGTGCAACACCCTTTCATGCTAAGAATGAGGAAACACACCCTGGATATTAATCTCATGACATAGTAGAGAAGGACTCTTTGGAAAAAAAATGCTATTTCCATCCTTGCTGGTGTGCCGGAAAATATTACCCACAAAGGATACGTTTCCTTCGAGCAGCACAGGGCCTAGGAAGTTACACACACGGGATGGGAGCTGCCTGGGCATTATTGTGCAGTGAGTCAGGATCACGGGGCGGGGGGCAGTAGGGGGGTGTCTCTGCTCTGCTGCTGCAGGAAGGGGCAGGGAGGGCCTCGGGAGTGCGGCCGCGTTGTCCCCGCTGCTTGCCCCTTCAGCTGCTTCCGGGCTTTGTCCTGGATTGTCTCCAGGATGTCCCCGGACGCTTCTGGAGGCTGGCTCTGTCGAGGAGACATTCCTGAAAGGCAGAGGGGATGGGGCTGTGCATGGTCCTGTGCATCCCTCTGGCACTGTCCCGCTTGCTCCATGCCCTGAAGCATCTCCACGGGTTTTCTAGGGGTACCCTGGGGTGTACAACTCATGTCACCGTGTTGTGCAGCGGCAGATGTTCCTCTGTCAGGCTGCTGTGCAGCCCTCACGTTATCTCAGATACTTTGTGTTGAGAGTTTGTTGGATATGTTTGGCTGATGTGCAGAGCTTTGGGGTGACGGGGTGCAAAGCACTACGGAAGGACAGGCAGGTTGTCTTCTGCTGAGCTCACTGCTCCTGCAGTCCTGGTTGCTCTTAAACATATCCTAGGGAGAACTGTCCTGCTCTCAGACAGGAAGGAGAGCAATGCTGTTATCACAGCACAGACCTGTCCTGCCAGCTCACAGCACCAGCCAGGATATGACCCTGATGCCTAAGTGATGGTGACAGCATCCCTGTACTTGGTGGTAAGAAGCCCTCTTTATGACCATGACGTGCTATTGGATTTGAGATCTGTACTTCTGAGCATTGCTCCTACAATTAAATGTATTTGTGTTGTCTGCCTCTCCCCCAGACGTGGAAAATAAAACTGCGGGATATTGTTGTGGAAGACCCTGACTTCCAAAATGGAAATCAGACCTGGGGGCTGAAAGGCTGCTCAGTTAATTCCATTCTGTGTGAGTGAGGAACAGGCACTTCAGAAGAAATGCTTCTTTTAATTGCAGTCCAACTTTCCGTGAGAATTCGATTCTTTTTCCTCCTGAACAAGATTTCATCCTGCCTTCAAAACCGCAGCCTTCTGGATCGCACCCGCAGGATGTCACAGGATTATTTTTGCTGAGGGAGGGAGGCCCAGTTCTCCAGAAATACCTCTATCTTCCTGCTGCCCGAGCTGTACTCGCCTGATCTTTGAGACACATAATCTAAGTGGCCCCGCATCGTTGGAGCCCAATTTAATGCCAAGCTGTAAATTGAAGGATCAGAAGCGCCTAGCCACAATGAAATCTTGCGCACAGATTAGGGAGTCCTGGCCGAGCAGCCCTAGAAATTGAACTGGGGGACTGGACTAAATCAATTTGATTCACCCAAAGGGCAGAGCTGCTACTGAAATGCAAAAAAAAACCAGAAGGATCTCCCATTACCATGCACCTAGGAAAGGGGGTAAGCCATTCAATAGTGTAGCCTGAGCTTTTCTAGCTGAAACGTCCCAAACACCGACTCGACTCCCTGTCTGTTCCTTTATTCCCCTTTGTTTTCCTTCCCCTCCCTTCCATCAGCTTGGGTGGTATTTTTAGGCTCCAGCCTAAAAAGATGTAATGATGGTCCTGAAAAGGGAATTGGCTTCTATACAAACCCTAGAGCGGAGCCGGACCAGCTGCACATCTGTTCCTTGGCACACAACCCAGGCACGTCAGGGTAGTGTAGGTGTAGGGAGAGGGGGGTGTCGGGAGCAGGACTCCCCTGGAGGACCGGTGCACGTGTGGGACCTCCCTGCAGCCCCTTGGTGGAGAAAGAAGGGCATCGGGATTAAAAGCTATTGACAGACAATCTATTGTGCTACCTTTCTGACTTGTGCTCGGATTATCTGCCTCTCACAGGAGAAGTTGGTGATGGGGAGCTCCTTCATGCACTCGTTTCATGCTCAGCTCCCAAGTGGAGGGGGACAGGGAAGGAGGGAGACCAAGCCATGAGTCTTGCTCCCGTAGCTCCAGGGGCTGCTCAAGGGGCAAGATTTTACAGGTAACAGTGAGTCGCCCTTGTTCTGGCACTAATATCAGTTCTGTTATCACCTCTAGTATCAGTTCTGGCTTTGATATGGGTCCCAGGACATTAACAATAGCTGGTAGGAGATGGCTTCCCACAAGACAGTCAGCAAAGCAGAATATCAGAATTCAGCTGTGGGTTCCTCAAATTCAAAGCAGTACGAGATGTGGAACAGATTAGAGGCTGGATCATACAAGCCACAAACCACATTAAAAGTATAGGAACTACAATAGGTATTCTGCTCTCACACTTAAACACAATCCTGAATGAAAGGATTTCCCCTGCCTCCAGCCCTTCTCCCCCTAAAAAAAAAAGGATTTCTGTCTCCAGGAAATGCAATCCAGTTACATGAAGCTCCTTGGGTACCGTGAGCATCTTTGCATAACAATGTCATGTCAAACAAATTCCTGCCTGCTCCTTGTCTGCTGCCTGATGTATTGTACCCCCAAACAGTTTTGACTACCTGCCGCCTCCGAAACACCTGATGGCTGTGGAATCAGCAATCGCAGAAGCAGCTGTGAAATGAAAAGTAAAACAGGGTGGGAGAAGGAGGGGAGAAACCAACTGACTGGGTGCTGATGCTGGGAGGGTGGAGGGGAGAGAAAGCCTGTCTGAGAATGGGTTTTGTCCTCCTGCCCCCAGCTGAGGAACAATGTCTCAAGTGCCATACTGATGACTGTGGAAGGGATTTTGGATTACTAATGATTGTTAATCAGTTTGGTAGCAATACTGGTCAGCACTTGGTAAGAGGGAGGATTTGCTCCTCTAGAGACGAGAGCCCTCCCTCAGCTGCAGTCCCACCGTTAGCTGCAGATGTGTGTGTGGAGGGGTGGGAGGAGGACAAAGAGGATGTTTTGGTACTGAATGCTGGATGCTCAGGCACCACGAAGGCTCTGGCAGCACCCGCATCCTCCTGGGTGCTGTGCTGGGTCCCTGGGAGATGGGGAATCAGGGTTCCCAGCATCTCCAGTGCAGAAGTAATTAAAGCCTTGCCTGCCTGCCACAGAGCATATGGGACAAGTTAGCAGAGTAATTAAATTTTGCAAAGTGAGTCTTTGCTGGAAAGCTGGAGGGTGGGTTGGTGGGAGGCAGGAGGAGTAGAGGCAATGCCCCTCACCTCCCCGGGTCCTCGCTCCAAATGGCTCCTTGCACCACAAGCTGAGAAAATAATTAGGCGGTGGCTCATTTGCATTGTTTATTGAGCTTCTACATATGAAAAGATCCTGAGGAAGCTGGTCAGACTGTGCAGATGCTATAGGTGCGAAAGGAGCACGTTTGTAAGCATGTGGGGAAATGATGAGAAGGGCTCCTGAGCAGAAAGGCGGATGTGGGGGACTGGAGAGTAGGAGGGGCAGAGAGGGAGAGAAGGGAGTGGGAAGAACAGAAAAGTCCTATTCCTGCAGACATGGGTGAAATAGGTGTAGTGCACGGTAAAATTGCCAATTAGTGGAGTTGCAGGAGGATGGAAACTGCTCCTGAATTGCAGTCAGTGAGCGTCAGTGGTGTGAAGAGAAGCAGGGAGGGGGCTGAGGCAGGCTGGAAGGGTTGGTGTGTGGATTTCAGGGTGGGATGTGTCCTTGCTTGGCCAGGTGAAACTTCCTGAGACCAAACCTTTGGATGTTAACCTTCCATTTTGTCGTAGCCTGTTATACTTGGAGTGAGAAAAAGGGATTTATTTTTTTTTTCCCCAAAAGAATATAAAGGGTTAAATTATTCAGTTTGAACAAAATTTCTAAATTTCTTTCAGGGTGGAATGAGTTATTTGCAGTTGCCCCAGACCCCAGGCTGAATGTTGTTTTATTGTGCTTCCCCCCAAAAGCTGAGATTTTCCTCAAGTCCCAACTCGTGTGTGATTCTCTTTTCCTTCTCCGCATCTCTAGGGTCACCTATTGAATCTTGTATTCACCCAGCATTGTGTTTTGTCGCTCTCACAAAAGAGTCCATTCTCATAAACACCCAGCCTCACGCAGCGATGATTGTCGCGGTTATTAATACGTGTAATGGCTTTCTCTCTTCCCGAGGACACATCTCTAATGACCTACCCTTTCCCCTCTGTTCAAGATGCTCGTGGAGCAAATTGCAGGTTGGGAAGGCTGGAAAATAGCGACCGACCACTGACCTCTCCGACAGGGTCAGTGGCTCCGAAGCTTTCCTTTGGGGCCGTGGTGAGGGAAGGGGTTTTCACCAGCATCTTCCGCGCTGGTGGGCCACAGTGTTCCCTATTCATGGCAAGCACGTGGCAGCTTTCGAATAGCACAGGCAGCTGTGTTTGAAGAAGTGCTCCCTAATTACCCTCCCGCTTGATGAGCGTGACAGCCCATTGTGCTGGCCCCAGCTGTATGGCTGCTGCTCTCCCCATGTCCCCTGCAAGCCAAACTGGGCACTGGGACATGCTCCTCCGGCAGCCCCTTCCACCCCAAAGGGCACTGCCCCATGTGTGGGCTGATGGATGCATGGGCAGGAACATGCCCCTCTAAAAAGGGCTAAAAACTGCTAGGGGTGTCACTGATCAATAATTTTGCTTTTTTTTTTTTGCAGGTATAATTGTCTAGACTGGGAGGGGTGAACACGGATGTTTGCACGGAGGCTTTTTTGGATGAGGAAATCTGGAGTTTTCGCACCAAAGCTGAAGTTCATCGTTTCCAAGGGAGTCATCCTGGAGTCCTGCCTCACCTGCAGAACCTGAGTGCGGCATTGCTGTGAGTGCTCCGGGGTGTGAAACACAGCTGGGCAGTGCCAGGGAAAGGAGAAGGGGGCTGGACTGGGGCTTTGCATTTGGAAAGTACTCTTGAAGTGTAGACTCCTCAGAACAGCTAAAGTGTGGAAGAAATACATCCAATACAGCAATGATTATTTGGTGCATTGGAAAAAAATCCTCTACCATGTTGTCCATGGGACCCAGAATCACCACAGCTAGTCCAGAGAGATAAACCCACAACAGATTTTCTTTTACCTTCTTCTGAGGATGCTGATGAGGGAGAAGCAGGGCTCTAAGGGAGTGAGTGATGCCAAAAAATGGAGTCACAGTACTCGTTTATTAAAGACACTGAGCCCGGCTTCGTATTGACTTAGCTTCTGTCTCAGCATCTGTGCCACTCCTTTTCTGGAGATCCCTCCTTTCAGCTAGAGAGGTAGCTGTGACTGACAGAGTAAATTTCCTTGCAAGCAATGCCAATTCTCCCCTGACAAAGTATTTCTTCATTGAGAAAAAGAAGTACACATCTCAAAAATACTCCTGAGCCAAAAAAAAAAAAAAAAGCTTTTTTTTTTTAGTGATGGAAAGTTCAGGAGGTTTCAGTGTTCTTCTCCCTTCATTTCTAATTAGAAGTTATAGACTGGAGACTCCCCATAAGTCATTAAAACTCCTACAGTTTGCATCGATTCTTCCCCAAAAAATGGTGTTTCCCAAAGGGTTTGCTCATCTTTTGGAAATGTTTCCCTTGGTAGTTTCTCTTGCCTCTCCTGGCAGCTGCTCCATTATCTAATTGCTCATCAAGAGCAAAGCCTCCCCTGCACCTCCTCTCAGCTGGCTGGGTTGTGGTTTAAGGTTATTGGTTCTGTAAGTGTGCAGTTGTGGTGAGTGCTTCGGAGATCTGAGGGAGGCAGGGATCCAGATCTTGGTTGCTTCTCCAAACCTCCTGGCCTCCAGAGACTCTCTGGGTCAGTGTTCAGGGGTTGCCTTGGCTATCTGGGGGTACAAATGGGACCAAAGCCCACAGAAAACATGGATTTTCCATGTCTTTAGTGAGAGCAATTTGGGTTTTCAGCCAGTTCGTGTGCCACACACAGAAAAACTGCTACATGTTGGGAAATCCAAGCGTGTTTTGGGGACTGGTTTTTCAAGGGTGCTGTACCCATGTGCAGAGAGGAGCAGGGACTCGCAGAGGCTGGAAAGTTGTTCTTGCTGCTCTCCATTAGCACTTGTGTGTACCTGGGAAAGAAGGTAAAGGCTGGCAGAGGGCTGCTGGCTGTGGCAGGGCGCTTGGCGAGGGAATGGCACTGTCCCCTGTCCTCCCCGTACCCAGCTCTGTCCCAGTTAAGGGTCTCAGCAGCACTTTGTGTATGACATGTCTGTGCCTCTAAAGACATGGCTGAGGTGGTGCTGCTTGAGATGCCCATATCCACAGAGCTCCCAGTTTCCCCTTTGCTCACCATGGATGGCAGAAACTTTATTTGCAATTTGCTCTGCAACATCCCAGCCAGGCAAGTGCACAGCAGTGAGAGAAGGAGAGTGGAGAAGAAATATGTAACTAGGTCAGTTTGCTCCACATTACAGCTTCATCCTTTACCCAGGGAGGAGTTGTGGTCTTTGCCCGCCTCTTGCTGTTCCCATTCAGTCACTTGATGGGGTTTCTAGCTACTTTGAGCCTACAACCTTCAGATCAAGATAAGTTTTTTTTAAACTTGGCTTCCACGTTCGACTCTGCTTCTTTCAACCTGTGTTCAGAGGCTCACAGTGGAAGGAACCTTTTGCTGTATTTAATTGTAAAAGTTCCTTCCCTATAAAAGTCTTGGCAAACTGGGCTGGCTCAGTGGTTAGTGCTTTGCTCTCCTCCTTGCAGGGGCAAAGTTCAGTTGCTTAGCGTCTGGCTGCCTTTTCCCTTGTCCAAGAAGGAGTTTTTAATCACAGTAGGACTAGATGGTTTGGCTTCTTCACAGCAGGGCTACAATGCCGATTGCCATTAGGTCTCTTGTTCAGATATGGTCCGGATTGTTAGTGAGGTTTTAACTGTTCCGTGGTCAGAGCGTGACGAGTTGTTGGGCTCAGCCTGTGTGCCCGGGGCTGTGTGCACCCCGCAATGAGCACCACCTGAATTCCTGTCCCCCTTTTTGCACCCCCCATTCCCATGATTTTGGTAATCACCAGACACCAAAGCATGCATGGGGGAGGTTTAGGTCCAGCCCATGCTGATGCCCTTGGAGGCAGAGGGATGCAGTCAGGGGATGGTGGGTCACCCATGTGCATCCAGAGGCAGAGACCATCCCCAGCACCATTCTGTCTCTTCAGACTGAAGCTGCAGAGAGGTGCCCAGCAAGGCTGCCCTGGCTTTGGAAACGCTGCTGGTTTGGTGTCACTAATACCAATATGAAAGCAGATAGAGATGCCGCATATGGGCCATCAGTAAGCAACATGTTAATTATGGGGATGCAATTATATACACAATTATATATGCATTACTTACTCCAGGCTAGATCCTGCCTGCTGGCAAGCAGCACCAGCACCTCACCAACCTCCCCGCAGGTCGGAGGGCTGCAGGCAGGGACCACGTGCAGGGACGTCCTCGGGCCAGGCAGTGCGTGTGTGCCCGTGCCCATGCAGGGAAGCTTTTTCTTTTGTTGGGACTGGATCTGAGAGAAAAACACAGCGAGGGGTGGGGTAAGGCACCAGGGATCATCCGAAAGAGGGGCTCTGCTCAGCAAGTATTAGTGAGCATTTTAGAAACAAAACTGATTTTTTTTGTTTTTGTTGTTCTTAATGAATCTTGCACTATTCAGGCTCAGACAGTATTTGCAAACCATGGGGAGAAAAAGATTTAAAAACAACAACAACAGAAGAGCATTAGCGGGGAATAATCTCATCAGCCCCAACTCTCCAGCAGCGCTAGAGACAGGAAAATGATGCCTTTTTATTAGCCTTATTGTCTTTAATTAAAGCATTCAGCAGAACCCTCTGATAATGGACTGCAAGTGAGGTCGGCAGCATTTGTAATAACACAATACAGGGTTCAATTAAGTTGTACTTTTGTAGCTTTTCATCTCCAGTTTAAACAAGCTAGTGATATATGCAGAATGATTACCTTTCCTAGCTGGGTGAAAAAGGAGGAGGCACAGGGCCTCAGGAAGACAAACCACTTGTTGCTCTATAACCAGTGCTCTAAAAATCCTCTGTTTCCCCACATGGCTTTCATGTATTCAGCCTGCTTGTGGGGTACCCCATCATTGCCACCCAGGCAGGGTGGCTGCAATTTGGCTGGTACACCGCAGCCATTAGGTATAGTTTTCTATATCACAATCACGTTTTTTGTGTGGCTGTGGGTATCCACAGCAGGTTTCCTAGACCTGAACCTTTAAAAAATGTGTTTTTGATGGTTGCAGTACCTAAAGAACTCCAAACAAACAGGGGGATCAGAGGCAGCAGCAGAAAAGATCAGAGGTCCAGGTATAACCATTTAAGCTGAAAGACTGTGGATGATTGACAAGTAGTTGATATTTGCTGCTCCTTCTTTTCCCTGCTCTTTTGAATTATTGGTCATAAAACACCCTGCAGTCGCACTCTTGCTGTGTCAGAGAGAGAGAGAGAAGCCAAGAAAAAACCCACATGGCTAACACTTAACTTTATCTTCACCATTAAGTAATGCTAAATTAGAATGAAATCGCTCTGGTAATACAGGTGACAGCTATATGAAGACCAAATGAATTCCCTATGATCAGTGCCGTTAAAAGGAGCACACTGGCAGAATTCATGATGACGGGACACTTACTGTGTGTATAACTCATGCGCGCACACGGGAAACTCATGGTAAATCTGGCTGGCGTTTTATGTCAGGCTCTAAAAAAAAAAAAAAGTGGCTTTTAAAGCTTCTGTTCGGATTCTCATCTCTCCAGCCCTGATGTAAATCTGTGGTAACGTAATTGCGCTGCTAACCTGCCATGGGGGAGAGGACGAGAGGGGAATGGAAAGCAGGAGCTTTCCTGAGGCTTCTGGGCAGAGATGCTGGGTGCTCCCATGGGAGCCTCCAGCTCTCACCTTGGGGTTGCTGCCACCTGGAGCTGCTCCTTCACCCCCTGAGTGTTGGTGGCCATGCTCCACCGAGAGCAAAACAGCTTGCAGCAGCATCTAGCTCCTTGCACACACCCCAAATGCTGTAATCTTGCCATGAAGTACCTGCAGCACTGCTTCTGTGACACTTACTGCTGCTATTGATTGCTGGAGCCTTGTATAAAGGAGCAGGTTGAGCCGTGCTTCATCTTGGGCATGGCTGTCCCCGCGGTGATACCAGGGCTGTGTCGTTTTTTGCTGTCAGAGTGGTGACACAGGTGGTTAGCTGAGCAGTTTCTACTCCTGTGTAGCTTTAGTGCATGGGCTTTCCTTGCAGGGCTGGTGTTCGTCTCCCCGTATTGATGGCAGAGGAAGGTGCTTTGAGGGAGGTAAAGCCAAGGTCCCCCTCCCCGTGCTTGCTGTCATGCTGCGGTACCCCATGCTGGCACGCTTTGTCACACAAAGCCTCTACCCTCCGTGTACAGGCAAAAATTACAGGGAGATAATTACCTTCTGCCTCCTCGCAGCCCAGTTTTACCCAAATACTGTTCATTTCAGTATTTTTACTGTCTCTCATGTAGTGCAGCTATGCGCTGTTAAACAGCTGTTCAGCTCCACCCTAGAAAAATAGCTTCAATAAAGTGCATTTCCCATACAGGTCATATATTGGTTAATTCATCCTCTTGGGAGAACTTCCAGACAGGAAATGTGGAGGCAGAGGAAACTGTCCCGGCAGAGCACAACAACTTCTAAATTAAATCCAATCCCGGCTCCCACTACCTGCCATTGTTACTGACATGGAAAGAGAAAGCAAAGGGATGAATTTCGCCTGGCTGCTGTGTCACTGCCATGGCTCCATCTCGTGGGGCAGCTGTCCCCTGCAGAAGATGGGTCGAGGTTTGATTGGTAACTTAAGTAGTATTGTATGCCTGTGCCATATTCTGCCTGAGTATGTAGAGGGGTACTGTGATGTGCCAAGCTCCCTTCATTCATGATGTTAAAGATTTATTTTTTTGGAAAGGAAAAACACACTGGAGCTTACTGCGGGCTGAACCAGCTCTGGTAGGTTTTATAGTCAGAGGAGGCGCCGAAGGGACTGCCTCTGCCTATTCCCCTTGGATCATGAACTCCACCAAACCTGCTCGGGTCTGTGGATGTAATTTTGTATGGTCATGGCAGAAGCCACTTCTGCACAGACCCGGTTTGCCATGCGCTCCTCATGGCTTTGCTGTTATTGCCCCCTGACTGCTGCTGAGACAATTTCTTGCCTATTAAAATGCAGTTATGGCCTGGAAAGTGATAGTGTAAGAATGGCTTATCAGTGCTCCGTAGCTATTTGCTCTAATCATCCGTACCAAAGGCCCGAGAATGCTCCCAGAGAAGCCAATAAGACTTTTTCCATTGACTTCAAAGGCAGCAGAGAGCAATTTAGCTGCTGCCACCAGACAAAGCAGGTTAGGCTACAGCTGGTACTTCCACAGCTAACTTGGCTCTGAAATCCTGACAATCTAAATGTATTTCTGCTACATGGGATGTTTAAAAATAGACAAGACAAAGTAGCAGGGAAAACAGATTGCTGGGAATATTCCTTCCCTGGTAGGAGAAATGGACTAGCTGAACCTAGCAGGGCTTTTCCATCTCAAGTGTGTATGAGCCTATGATTTCTGTCAGCAAACTAAGCACTTCTGAGCCAGAGGCAGCACAGAAAGCCGCTAAAAGCAATTTAGAGGTGCTGGTATCATAATTTTTCAATCCAAGAGGAACTTCTGTTTTTGCATATATCGTAGGGCTCAGGAAGATTCCCCCGAATCCAGGGAGGCGCGGTGCCTGTGCAGAGACAATCCCATGGACACAGCCCATAAGTCATAATAATGCGAGTGTCTTGGTAGGGCTGTCCTCCCAGCTGCCTCCTGGGAGGGGGATATTGAGTGCACGATGTTGGAGAAGATCAAAGAGACATCTCCCGCTAATAAATCACCAATAATGGGTGACTTTGAGTGCCCACATATAAGGAGGCCAGTGATGTTTAGTGAATCAATGTCTCAATACTTTAAATTATCCTCGGAACAGTTACTTCGAAGGCATGCAAGACAAGTTTTTTTTTCGATTTTGCCTTCAGTAGCATGGAGGATGTGGTTCGAGACAAATGGCTTCCTACGCACTAGTGATCACAGCAAAACTGTGTCTGTCACCCTCACGGACTGCATCAAAACTTGGTCAGGAACTCGGTTCTGTGGAAAGGAGAAGTTAAAAGAAATGGAAGAGTAATAAATGAGAATTAAAGCCAACCCCCTCAGGCTATATATAAAGACAGTTTACTCATCCCATATATACTCCCAGAGGAAAGCCAGACCTGTGTAAATGGCAGAGAGGAGAGATATTTAAGCTGAATAAATAATTTTCACTGAAAGTGGAACCAGCGCAGGGCAGCTCCATGCAAAGAGCAGAGCCCTGGCAGGGCTGGGGCAGAGGCAGGGCTCTCTGCTTTCCTTGCAGCATGGGATTCAGCAAGGAGAAATGCCCTGCCTGCAACTTGGAGATGTCCAGTAATTCCAGTGGGAATGGCAGAGGAACATCTGGCTGGCGAATGCCAGATGCTCTACCCGTGCATCCCAGCACCCAGACTGGGACCCATGGTGGGGAGGAAAGGCTCAGCTCCTCGCGATGCTCGGCTGGCACATTGAGCTGGGCTCAATACGAACCTGAGCGTTTCATTAGCCAGGTTTTCCACCCTGGAGGAGAAGCTACGGCTGCATTGACCTTAATGTGAAATTAAAGCCATTTAAGCAGGTAACAGCCAGACAGCTGGGTGCAACCATGCGATGGAGGCGTTTGTCTCTATTTACAGACAAGCTGTGTATGTGTTTCCATTTCGCTCAACTTTTGCTGCTTGTTTATTTAGCTAATAAGAGCCAGCAATCTGCCTCGCACAGCCGTGCAAACAGCAGAGCAGAGTGTGCCCGAAGAAGGGCTTTTGTTAAACACTTGCTGGCCTTATGGCACCGGCTGTGGCTCACCTGCTGCAGGAGGGAAGGCACTTGAACTAAGCTTTTGCTCAGGTGGGGCATGTCCTGTCTCTCTCCATCAGTCTGGGACAGGACTGATGTGTTCCCATCCCTGGGATGGGGCTGCATCATTGCTGACAGACTGAGCAGTGCGTCACCACTTCCCTGCATCCCACATCCATCTAGACACCGATGGCAGCTGGATCAGCAATGCCACCATGTCCGTGTGTCTGTCCCTCAAAAGACAGGCAGGAGGAGGTGACCAGCCCTCTCTGGCTGTGCTGGTGCTTTAGAGAAAGAAAGGAGGCTACATCTAATCACAGAAGGGTGCAGACAGGACAGCTGCTGCAAAACCTCTCCCTCATCCATCTCTATGGGGGGACCAATGCTGCATTTTGGGAAAAAGCTGCGCCACTGTCTTGTCTTCTGCTGCTGCACCCAGCAGTCCTTTCTGACTTTTTAAGCATTACTCTGACTGCCTCCTGAAATTAATCTGGGAAAATCTGGGAAATCAGGAGGGAACTTTGCCCATCGGCCGTGACCTGGCTGCTGCGGAGGCAGCAAAAGTCTTCTGGAAAATACCCACTTTAGATTGGGTCCCTGTTTTCTAAGGAAGACATTAGGGAACTCATCCCCATCAAGCTAGGTTCTGCACCAACACAGAACAAGACATGACGTGCACCCATCACTTCTTGCCTGTATATGCACGAAATTAGAGGCTTTGGGACCTTAAGTCCAGCTGTCTGCTATGAATGCACAGGTCTTTTAGAGCGCAAAGGAGCCAATGCTACATAGTTCATCCTGTGCTTAGCTGCTAATTAGGAGTTTTTAGGACATAATTTGAGGTGTTACCAATTAGCTCAATTGTGGACCAAGACCAGAGCTGTTATTTGCTTTGTCACAGCAACTGAAAGCCAAATAAACAAATACTAGTGTCTTTTTCCCCTGTGCTTTAGAACCGCTGTGAAACAAAATAATAATAATTTCATTGTCTACTTTTCAAAACTCTACATTTAAAGCAGATCATAAAAATCCCCACATGGTTTATTTTGTGTAATTATTAAAAAATCAGGCTTTGAATCCCAGAAGAAAAACTATATGTTACTTAAAAAAAAAAAAAAAAAGAAACAGCAAAACAAAACAAACACACACACACAACCAAATACACACATGAAAAAAATAAAGCAGGCAGATGAACGAGCAAAATATGTTAGAGTTTGTCCTTCTGGTGTTTATGATTGGGAGTTTTGAAGGGGGCTATGGAAGGTAAGTGCTTAAAGCCCACATGACTTCAGGGGGTTTTAGTACCTTTTCAATGTGGCTCTATTAAAAAATGAGTATAAAAAAAAATAGTTGCAGATGAATAGAGGAAGTTTGAAGCTTTTTAATTTATTATTTATTTTTAACTCTCTTCAACTTTGGATGTTTGTTTTCAGTTTTCCCAGGAAGCCACCAACCACACAGCTTGGGATAGCTGGCTCGTGCTGTAAACTCTTCTGACAGCCTGGGCCCTCAGAGGCTCTGCTCAGCAGGAGGAGCGAAGGACTGCAAGGACAGGAGCCGTGATTGTGGGCATGAGGTGAAGCAGAAAAAAGCAAAGTGAAGTGTCTCAAATGCTGGAGAGAGGACTGTTGCTGGAGCTGAAGCTGTGGGATGACAGGCATAGATTTCACAGGTATGTCCTCCTCCTCCTTTTCTGTAAGCCTCTTTTTCCTTCACCTTTGTATTTCTAACATGAGATAAAAGGAAACAACTGAAAATACAAATGTCCAGGTGTCCTCCTGTCAGGCAGTGGTAAGCCCATAGAAGTGGGTGAGCTCTCAGCTTTCAACAGTTCTCTTCAAAGGTTACATCTAATTAGGAGAATCCTGATTTTGTCATCGATGATTTTAGCAAGTTGGTCTTCCAAGGCATCAAAGAAGTCCAGCTGGGAACCCATATGGGAAAAATATATATATATATTTATATATATGCTATAAACATGTTATCCCTAGAAAACTTGTACATAGTATGTGTGAGCTCACTCTGTACACCTACTCTTCACCACAACCTGATTTTAGACATCGCATGACAGATAGGCCCACTGATACCTGTCAGTATTTCTATATGGAGCCTACTTGGATTTCTCTGCAAGGTAGTTCATGCTGTCTTTGAGAGGGAAAACTTTTTTCCTGGTCTTTCCCTAACTTTTTTTTTTCACTTGTAGCTGCCTCATTCATCACTGATTTCCTCCACGGATGGAGGATCAAATTCACCCTTCTCTGGTTACTTGGAAAATGCAAGCCAGGACCTTGCAGACTGCCTCCATGGGCTTCCTTTAAAGCCCTGGCAGTGGCAATATCGGCATATCCAAGATTCAGTGTTTTATTGGGCTGAGCTGCAACTTGAACACAATTTAATTGCCAGCAGATATACAGCACATATGGGATGGTGGTGGTGTAATTTATAAAGGTGTTGGAGCCCAGTTTTGGGTAGGTACCCGTATCTTTAGAAACAGAGGATGGGGGAATTGGATAGGTCTGTGTCTTCTCCCACTTCTGCTGTATGTGGACAAACAGGAGGCACAGTGGTGCACCCTGACACTGGGAAATGCTTCTTCCTTAGCTGAGGTGAAGCTAAGTCTATAGGCACATGCAATTTATCTGATCCAGGGGTGCTAAAAGGATGGCAAATCTGTATTTTAATCCTGCCTTGAGGTTGTTCGTGGGGAGAGGCATGTATGTGCTGGTAGCACTGCATGAATGTGCACCCAGGTCTCAGGCCAGGTGAATTCCAGGCATGTACTGATGTGCTCTGAGCTGAGATTGCCAACTTCTGAAAGTGGTTGTCCTCAGCCCACGAGAGATGCTGTTACACTGCTGGCTGGGTGCTCTCCTTGATAAAACTGCCTCCCCTCGCTTCCTACATTCATTCACTTGTCAAGAGCAGAGACTTGTTTCAACACTGTGGATGCTAAATTTTCTCTGATGTAATTATTGTTTGACACTGCAGCCCTTCCAAGAACCTTACATAAGGAAAGAGAAAGAATTAAATATGAGAGAAGTCTAAAAATAAAACTATTAAAAGGAGGCAGAAGCTGTTTTGTGAGCAGCAGGAATGATGTGGTGCCTCTGGGAGAGGATATGCTGAGCCAAAGGAGATGTTCTGCTTTTAGGCAGTGCCTTTCATTATATTTCAGTGAAGTTCTGTGCTTTTCTGAAGTTCTTAGGTGCAGCGCTTTTAGAAATGAGCCTGTTCTTTCTCTTTGCTCTTGCAAAAAACCACGACTTTCATACCATTCCCCAAGCCAATCTCCCTTTACAGAATGTGCAGCCAAAATTTCCCTTCCCTAATTAAGCTAGAATGGTTTTTGAAGAAGTTTTAGCCTCAGAGAACATCAAATTTAGCTCTTAGCCTGGAGCCAAGCTCTGGGCTAAAGAACACATGTCATTTTAGGAATTCATGCAGATGCACCTTGACATCTGGGATGTGATATGTCGCCTGCACACTTCCCCATTGAGACACGAAGTGGCAGCGGGCACTGCTGATGCTGCAGGTGGAGCACAAAGGGTTTTTGTCATTCATCCCTACACGTTTGTCCCAGCCATGTAAAGAACTGCAGGAGATTTCTTTGACACATGCAAGCCTCTTCTGTTGGTATTTGTTGATGTGATAACTTAATTGCCTCATTTCTCTTCTGGGTTGCTTCTGAGAGCAACATAAAGCAGTGTTTCCTAACTTGTGACCTGTAAAGAATGGACTTCTCTGGTGAACATTTGTTTCCCGTGGCTAGTTCCTCTCTAGTGTTAAAAGGCAGCCAAAAATATGCAACACGCAGCTTCTTCTAGTGTCATTTTGGAATGACCTTAACAGAATCTGGTTTACAGATTTCTGATAAAATTCAGGTATGGAGAGCAGGGCTTGAAGGAGCCTTCAGAGGTCATTTGCCTCAAGCCAGGATCAGCCAGGTTTCTAATTTCTTACAAACCTCCAGCGCTGATCATTCCACCCCTAGAAGCAGAAAGTTCAGAGTCCGGCTCTGTCTGTTGTAAGGACCTCTCCTGCAGGCAGATTCAATATCCCTCGAAGCTAATTACCTGCGACTAGGTGTCTAGCCTAAGCTAACCAGGTGAACTTTGTTCCTTTGCTTCACTTCCAGAAAGCAATGGATTTTGCCCCTCTTTAAATGCCCTGGGTGGGATCAAGCCCTCGCTGAACATTTTTCTCTCTGCAGTGACTGTAGAAAAAGTCTGGCGGGCTGCATTAGGCAAGAATAGATGAGCATGCACTGAACGCCTCATTTACATCAGGTTCCTTTTTTTATTCATGGCTTGGACACTCAACAGCTGAGGCATCAGTATCACAGCACTGGGATCCTCAGTGTGTTCTTGAGCTTTCTTTTCTACACAGCGATTATGACTCATTTGCTCTGTGTTGTATGTGATGATGTTTGGAAGAGGCATGGAACAATAACAGGGGGAGATGGGTCCATAATGATGCCTTCCTCAAAACCTTGTCCAGGCTAAATAAAGGTAAAGCCTTGACAAGCCACACACATGTAGTGTCCAGAATATCCCTGGGAATAACTGGATCTGGGAAGGTGAAGACTTTGAAATGCTAAAACATCAACAATGCACTCCAGCTATCTCATTACAAGCCCATCCAGAACCAAAGCAGAATCAATGATGTGAGGCTTGGGTATGCTGAGTCCTTGAGATTACTTTTTTTTTTTTTTTGAGAAACTGCCTGTTGTCCAAAAATTATTTGTAGAAAATACTGGGAGAATAGTTTATACTAGCAATAGCTTGTGGAAAACTGTAAACATCTGGGAGATCATTCCTGAACAGGAGAAATACATTATTTGCTATGACTTACTACCTTAGCTCTGGTAGCTGCATTGCTTTCTTTCTTTTTTTTTTTTTTTTTTTTTTTTTAATATTTTTTTAAAGAACTTAATCAACAAAGAAAACATATTTTCCCTCTGGGTTAAATAACCTCCTGTAATTGCACAGCTCCACTGGTTTTTAATCCAGTCTGTGTGCCCACAGTGAGGAGGTTTTTGTTTGTTTGTTCGTTTGTGGTCTTTTTTACTGCTTTCTGGCTGAATACCAGTATCTGCAAGGTTTGTAGAAAACCTTTGCTCTTGAGCTACAGAGCCCCGTAAGTTTTGTAGTTACGCAGGGGCTGACTTGAGCCAACAAGCAGTGGGGCATCATGCCAGATTCTGCAGAAAATAAGCTTTCACCTATTGGAATGCCATGTGTATTTTCTAGCCATTCTGTAAAGAAAGCCATCTGAAGGCAAAGTGAGGCTGGCTTGATTTCCTGAACTGCCTCTCGAGAGGCAGGAAGAACAGGCAGGATGAATGATCTGCACTTCTTTACTCTGAAAGCTGACGAGGTGCCAGCCAGCTACCAGCTAAGTAGCCACGCTGTCCTGTGTTCAACTCTTCTGTTTGTCATTGAGCTCCAGCTACTCTCCAAGTGGGGCAGAAGTTTACAGTTATGTGTGGGACATCAGTAGTGCATCAAGAAGTGCTATTTTTTAAAGTGACACAGTCCAAAGAGCTTCCTTATTTAGCGCTGCATGAATTCAGCACAGGAGCTCTGTTGGTATAGGCAGCAAGAAGTTTTCACCTTCCCACTTCATCAAAGATGACCCTGGTAGGGCTGCTCTATCCAAACAGAGTCACACTGGAGTCACTTAGTGCTCCTGTTGGTTGTAACCCACACACCAAACTACTTTTGTAGCAGGGTTTGGGCACAAGAGGAGCTCAGAGGAGAACCCCATCCTACTGTTTCTCTTTGCCAACCCATTTCTATAGTGAGGGTGCAGGTAGTATTTTTGCCCCTGCATCCATAAAGGGTAGAAGTTTTGTCCTGAAATTTCTTAGAGTGCCATTTTTGTTCTGCCTTGCTCATGACTTCAAGGCTTTGGATTTTTTTCTTTCTCTTAACTTAGCTACCAATCAGCCTCACTCCAGCTGCAGTAATAACGTGTGGGATGGCAGTTGCCTCCAGTGGCTGTTTAAATTAAACACAGATCTACTGAATAGACACCGAGTGCCAAGAGATCCCTTTCGGGAGAAGGTGAGAGGAGGAACTGCTTTCCAGTTAACATTGCCGATGTGTTTCTGAAGCGAAGGACAACACCTTTCTGACTCCAGGACATTATTAATGTCTTTCTCTTACAGAACATGTGTTCTGAAAACCTGTAGCGGTGTCACCTTCAAGCTGTCATTTCAGGTGGATATTGCAAGCGAGGTACAGCCAGCCCAGCTTATGATTTGCATGGGAGACATCCGAAACACTACAGGTAATTCAGATGATGTTATGTCCTCCCTGGAGGCAAGGCTGACTCCAGGCCCAGCAAAGCGCCAGCCAGCACACTGCACATGTCTGCAGGTGAAGCCAAGCAACATCATGGGTGGTGCACAGCCATGGAAAGCTCTAGGAAGCATTTGCTTGGAGCTGCATTTATAAATACAGCCAAGTTGTGCTAGTGACATCTCTGAATATGTGCAATTTGTGATGTAGGTGTGAGCTTGAGCATGTTGGGTCCCTGGAGCTGCCTGTTCTTGGCGCTGTCTGTGGCTGCCCTGTGCTGAGAGCAACAAGCATCAGTTGAATCAGCTCTCCCACCCTCCCATACTGCTCTCTCCTTACACTCCTTACCCCTGCCTTGATGGGATGGCCCCACCGCTTTATCCAGCCCTTGGGATGCTGACTCCAGCAGCATTTCCCAGCCCGGACCCAAGGGGTTAAGGTGGGATGTTAACTTCAAAGCTGGGCGCGAATGGGATGTGAGCAGCGCGGGTCACGGATGTCCTCGCGGGCAGCTCCCTTCTCTCCATGCTGCCAAGAGCAGATGTGGCGTAAAAGCTTCCTCTCAGAGAGGGCATGATTAATCTCTGCTTCTTAGAGGATGACAAATATATTATATTCGCCGACATGCACACGCATTCTCTTCGCCTGACAGGTGACCCCTGTCTTAATGCCAAGCGCGCGAGGTCCAGCTCTGTAAACGAAGAGGAGAGCTTTGCAAGCTCATTAATGCTTTGAAGTCGCTCATTAGAAGCAGATTCCTCTGGAGCTGGCGAGCGCAACACCCTTTGTGAGCACGGCTTCGTTTGATACTAATGCGGGTGCTGCAGCTGGAGGCATCCGGGGATGCTGGGCTGGGATCCTGCACACGCGGACCCGCACAGCGTGTTGCTGTGGCTGTGATGGGAAGAGCAGAGGGAAGCAGGGAAAGCTGCTGTCCCCTTCTGGCACCCAAAGGGGTGAATTTCCTCCTGGCAAGGATTTTGCTTGTGGATGGATTAACCCTTTCCTCTGCTGAGCTGAGGACCTGCAGCACCCTGCAGTGGGGTGCCTGGGGTCTCTGCCTTGCTCCCCAGCAAGGTGATATGGACCGCATCAGCTCTGAAGGCTAGGCTGTCCCCTCAATGTTACCCTTTTCCGAGAGCTAAAAACACAATTTTCTGGTCAGTGACTCTCACTCCTGCACCCACTGGCTGCAAGCCCTCTGATTAGCTCAGGCACCCCCAAGCATTTTTGTGAGCAGCCCCTGGGGAAGCGAGGAGGGAATTGCTCAGCTCCAAGTAGGTCAGACACAACAAGCACCATCCCCTTCACCTACAGAGACACCCCCTTCTGGTTGTGGGACGTGTCCCCAAATGTTTTAGCTTACTGGAGCCAAAAAAAGGCTTCCCACAAACTGTCGGACCAGCCTGGGTCTGCATCTTCCCAGCCCTTCCCATGGAGGAGGAGGCTCCAGCATGTCCTCAGCAGAGAGTGGCTGAAACAGACAGAAAGCACCAGGCTCCTGTGGCTTAAGGGCTAAAGACTTAGTGAATGCAGCCTTGTTTTGAGGCTGTGGGTTTGAATCCCATGTGACTCAACAAAAATGTTTTTTGTTGCTGTTGTTGCTTTTGTTTGTTTTTCCTACAGGGCAAAGCAAAAGCACAAAAGGTACACCTCACCCCAAAGAGAAAAGGAGGACACCCATGCCCCACAGTTTTTCCTGGCTAAACACTCCACTTGAGCCCCCACTGCAGCCCAGAGGGGGTGAGGAGCAGGACACGAGGAGGAAGAGTGATGCTTTAACCATTCAGCTGGTCTGGCTGAGCACTGGCAGGCTGGCAGAGCTGCTCCTGTACCCCCCAAACACCCCGTGGAGTCAGGCTGACACCCCCCAGAGATGTCCCTCATGCCTGGAGGTGTTATCACTGTTGTCTGTGGTCCTTTTCTGAGGTCCTGGCATGGCACGTGGGTGTTGTGCCACTCCCCATGGCCCTGAGAGCTGGCACTTCCCAGTGAGGTGTTTGGTTGGGGTGTGCCAGCTGGACTGAGCAGAGATTTGCTTCTTGATGATGGGTGCCAGGACATGGGAGCAAAACTGTGATGTTATGGAAAGCTCATGGGGTAGGAAAGCATTTCTTGTGGGGTACAAGGAGAGGGAGCAAGGAGGCTTTCTCACTGTGCCTCACCAGAGGCCAGCTCAACAGAGAACTTCAATAAAGCAATGAGGAGGGGAAGATGTTTTGGGCTCAGGAAGTCCCCCAGGCTGGGACCCCGATGGCTTGGCAGGGTGTGTGTCCTTCAGGGGAGACCTGGCAGGCCAGGGGGCAGCAGGCAGCCCACCAGGATGGCCGAGTGGTGAAGGCGTTGGACTTAAGATCCAATGGGCGCATGCCCGCGTGGGTTCGAACCCCACTTCTGGTAGGAATCTCCTTTTTTTGGCAGTCCACACCTCCCCGTCCTGGCTTTTAGAGCATCTGTCTGGAGCAGAGAGGGGAGCCCTTAGCCCTGTGCTGTGCCTTGGGGGCCAAAACCATTCGGTGTCCCAGTGAGAGCCCTTTGGTGGGACTGAGCCCCCTTATCACCCAGGCTGAATGTGGGGAGATGTGAGCCAGGCGCTCTGGCACAGGGCTTACGGCTCTTGTCCTTCATGCAGGGAGTGCTGAGATTGTCGTGGGCTTGAATCCCACGTACTCCCAAAATAGAGACATCTTTTTCCCAAGAGAGAATTAGAAAAACCTGACTGTCCTGAAGGAGATAAAAAAAAAAGACATTGAGCTCTAAACAGCTTGGGGAAGTCACAAGTGGAAATGGGTGCAAAGAAGATGGGTTTGGGGTTCACAGAGACTGCTCCGTGCTGGCTTCTCTTGCCAGCTCTGCTCTGTGACCCCAGACTCATGGCTTGGCTCATCCAAGGCACCATTTGGCACTCTCCAGAGGGATTTGGCAGGGTCACAAGCCCCTGGAGCTTGCAGCATGGCAAGAGGGGTTTCCTGATGCTGCAGGTTAAGCTGGGGAAATGCATGAGAAACTGAGGGCTGCTCCTGGGCTAGCGTGTCCTGGGCTGGCACTTAAATACTCTTGGGCGATGTTTCTCTTCCTCTTGTGCACGGGTGGGCACCAGAAACTTCCTTTTGTAAAGGTTTAGCCCTCCGGACCCGTGGAGATGCTGTCAGGCTTTCATTTGGCTGCTTTGCTCCAGCCTGAGGCCAATCGGAAATGTCCTACTGCTGGGACATGATTTGAAGTGATGGTGTTAATTTGGTTAATTAGGATTCCCGGGTAGCGTGTGCGTCTTGCAAATCGGCTTACCATTGTAGTGTCACTGCAAAGAGTTATTTGCTGGTGCATGGGGTTATGTATGAATTTATGATTATGATGTAGGACCATTAATTTCATGTTTGTGGCAGATGATACAGCTCAATTAGAAGTTGCACGTTACGATCCTTGGCTCTCTCTGATAGATGGAAATCAGACGGTGGCCTGCAGGAGGGATCACGGGGCCTGTAACAGTGGCCCTATAACAAGTGGGGCAGGACCCAGAGGAGAGGACAGGGGAGGAATTACCCTGCTCTTCTCCCATTCGATTAGTTCTGGGAGTGAAATTCTGTGTGTTTGCCACAGCCAGCTTGTTGCAACTAACCTCAGTTGTTAAGTGATGCAAAGAATGACAAATCCATCTCTGAGAGCATCCCAGGGGGTCTCAGCAGCACTGCGGGTCAAGTCTTTTACCTCTGATGGCTTGGAGTCAGACTTCTGTCTAGTCCATGTGTCAGAGGCGTTCGCTGGCCTCCGCTGAGTTCAAAGCTGAAATCACCTCATTTGAGCTTCTCTGTTGATCCCTATTCTCACAAAGCTTGTGGTTTTTTTCCCACCCCAGGGATGTGGGCTCTGGCCTGCTCCCGATCCACTGAGGGTGTTTATCCTCTTTGCAGAACTGTTGGGTAGGCAGAGCGTGGTCTGCGGGCCCTGGGAGCAGAGCTAACAGCCTTTGACATCTGGGGCCAGGTGTTAATTTGGCTCAGGGCTAAGCTGAGATGGCAGAGGCATGTACGAAGGTGGGGCTGGGGAGCTGAGGCTGGAATAGCAATGAGGCCAGCAGCCAGGGCACCTTAGGGCTGTACTGGACTGCTAAATAAGCTGCCTTCCAGCAGGCCACAGCTTCCCTCCTCATCTCACACCGGCCCTGTATCCTCCAAGTGTCTGACAGAGCTAAGAAGAGCAGCATGTCCAATAGCCCATGTATCATATTTATTAAGATGGTTACTGCAGGTTAAATATCAATAGTTTATTAAAATATATTTATTATAGATTAACTGTGCAGTACGCACATCTGTTATGTTGTGGTTAAAAGTAAACCTCGGCAAAAGGGTTTTAATAATGAATTTGTATCGAAGTGGTGTATAATAAGTATCCTTAGCAATCTCACTCTCTATTTCACATGACAGTTTTATGTTCAATAAATACCTAGAGATTATTAAAAACATATTTATCAAAGATTAACAGTGATAAAATAGATACAAATCTAAGCTGCTAAGCTCAATAAGCCTGCTTATAATAATCAATTCCTATATTAAAACTCAATAACAGCCTTGTTTAAATGAAATGGGTTTTGGGGATCTTTGTAAGTGCCATTTTTTGCTGTGTGTTCCTGCTTGAAGATCTCAGATTAGATAATGGGACATTTGTGTCTAAAATAAATCAGGTAGGTAAAAGCAGACCAGTCCAGGCTGTTTCAGGAAAAGGGAAGCAGAGATTCAAAGGATCTAGGTCAACACCAGTCCACAGGCATCAGAGCAGCTTAGTATGGCTTTACTCAGCTCTGTATCCCAGAGAAATCCCCCTGTGCTGCCCATACTACAGCTCATGCCACGTCCTCCAGCAATGCCACATCCAGGATTGGGAGTGTGGAACAACAACTCTCAACGTCTTTAACATCACAGATGCACCCACACTGTTTTGGGTACAGAAATATACTGCCTGCCTTGTATCCCATTATTATCTAGCACTTGGAGGCAGAGTGCTAAAATGAGCTAACTGTTTAGGAGGTAAACAAAATGTTATTGTTTTACTATTGTAAAGCTGTTGTAATCATTGCTGGCTGGTGGGTAATGGGAGCTTCAGCCTGTGCCTGCATTCTGCCGGGAGCAGCGTCCCAGCTACTCGCTTATTTTGGGGAAAAAAGTCATGGGCTGTCTAGGTGCCCTTTGGAGCATCGGTGGTGTTTGGACCTCAGGAGCACTTGGACTCCTGTGCTCTCCTGGTGGCAGACTGGGGATATTGGAAACCTCAGGTCATGGCCTGATATTTAGCCTGTTTGCTGGATCCAGCGCCCTATGCCAGCATTTGGTGATGTTTTTATCTTGTGTTTGAGCTCACGTTTTTACATCTGTGAAGCTCTGTGCCAAATCTAGGTGAGGTTACAAACCAGAGGCACCCAGATTCAAGGGAATTCACACGCTGCGTGCCTAAAATATGGACTGGGCTGTAATGCAAGGGGGCTGCATGGGTAGTTAACTCTGGAACCTGTAATGTACTGGGAGGGGAAGGGTTATTTGCCTCTTGTGTTTGTGGGATCTCAGGAAATGTAGGGATGTTTCCCCCACGCTGCTACACAGCAGTATCTCAAGTATATGATGTTTTTCCATTTCCCAATTTCCTGTTGACTCCCTTTCTTTTCTTTATGATTTTGAACACTAGACTCAAGTTCTGCCTTAAGGGATGTTACTTCTGCATTTTAGATGCTATCAAGCAGCTCTGTGGGATCAGATTTGTGCATGGGCTGCCGAGGAAGCCCTTCAGAGGAAGGGCAGGGCGTGATGAAGGCAGCTGAGCAGCCTTGGGGAGATGGAGGCATGCATTGGAGAGATGGTGGATGAGAAAAAGTGGGGAGTTTCTGACCTGTATTAGCCACTTGTTTTCATGTATCTCCCATCCTGGTATGTATATACATATGTATTCTGGTATATGAATGCTATCTCTGAGCTGGCACCACCAGGCAGTGCAGGTGTCTGGATTTTTAGGGTGGACTTTGACTGAAGGGATGGTCCAGACAACCAAGGAAGATCTTTCTGTGCCTAGCTGGGTGAGGACAGTGCTTTGGCAGTTTGCAGTGATGGTTCTGTCGACTCTGTGGTCGCCTATCTTTGTATTTTAGCAAGGTCTGTCTGCGTGATACCAGTCACCAACAGCCCCTGACTTCAGTTTTCATCCCACCTGGGGAAACATGGCCTGAATAGCTTTGAGGTTTTGTGCATCTCTAATGCAATCACACACTCCTCTGTGGACATCCCAGAAGTTATATCCATTTATGCCCCGAGTGAGTTTGTCTCCCCTGTGTGCTCCTCAGCCCACCTGCTCTGAGGAGGATGCTTAGTTGGCAGGGGGGAGTTTTCCATCTTAGCAGAGGGCTGCAATTACAGAGGTGACCAGAGAGAAAAGACAAGCGGGCACGCGCCGCTGCCTTTAATAGAAGGCAATGATTCTTCTGGGCTCCGGAGTAATACGGGAGATCTGGTTTTAATAAATTAACAGCCTACAAGTAACAATCTCAAGCAATTAAACTCTGGAATGAAGGCGAGCACCATGAAATGTATTCTGGAACTGACAGGGGGTGGCAAAGACAATCCAAGAGCAGTGGAAAAGACAGAAATAAAATAGAAATGCCCCGGAGAGACTGGGAGAGCTGTGCTCCCCTTCTCATTTCTGTTGTGCATGCATGTGGCTATCTCACCTTGCTCTCCATTGCTTCTCCTTCCTTCACCAGGCCCTGGGGAACAGATCTGGAGTCTCTCTGAGGTTATCCAAATCTTCGCCAGCACCATCACCCTTGTACTTGCTCTTGCCTGTGTAGTTAAGGAAATCCTCATGGTGAGGAGGGGATGGCTGGCGGGAGAGATGGGAAGCAGCTGGGAGCTTGAAGATGGCTCAGAGCTGAGGAGGGGAACAAATAAATAAAAAATAAAACAGCTAAGCCTTCCTGTCTTACATTAATAGCCTGTATGGAATCCTCTTTGCCATAGAATTCAATTTATTTCCATTTAAAGGCTGTTCTTCTCAATCAATGCAGCTAATAAATAGCTGCTGATGGCCGTGACCCCCGGGCTGCGGGAAGAATTTATCTTCTGAGCCAATTAAAGGAATTGAACAATTCCTTTTAATAACACTATGGGATTTTAATACCAAAAAAAAAAAAAAAAGAGAGAAAAATGCTCCTCCCGAGTCTTGCAGGGAAGGGTCAGGTGGGCTCTGGCAGGGCTGGGATTAGATGCTTTAACTTGCCTTGTGAAGCCGATAAGGGAAATGTAACGTTCCCTGTGAAAGCACAGGAATGTTTTTCTCTTCTGATGTCTTAAAAAAAAAATGCAATGGAAAATTATGTTCCTTTGTTTCCAGAGCTGTGAAGGGTTTGTAGGGATTAGTGAGCTCCTGCAGTGTGGTGTGGTGGGAGAAATGGATAGGTCAGGCTGGCTGTGATGACTCTTGCTCTGTGCTCTGTGGGTGCGAGGGCACTGGGACCCAGGGCAGCAGAGCCTTCAGCCTCAGGCACTTCCTCACTCGTAGGGGTAAGGCAGGGCTGGGCTGTCCATGGCTTCTTTCTGTGATTCCCATGACTTCTTTTTAGTGGCAAAAATCCACGCTGACCCTCTCAAGCCCTTGTGGAGGGTGGGAGGCATCCTATGAGCTTTGTGGGTTTCTAAAGCTCATACTGGAGCCAGAGTTTGGCTGAGAGAGTGATTGCACCTTGGAAGACAGACATGTGCAAAAGAGGTGGTGAGGAAAGCTGAACAGATACCTATTGAGTTTTTACAAAGCTACATAACCCCAAATAGCAGTGGGTCTTCTCCACTCCATCACTCTCCTGTCAATGAAATCTCATGACTCCTGTTGGCATTGGATGAGAGCATCTGTCAAACACACAAGTCTCTTTCAAACACTTCTGTGCTGTAGGGAAGTCTCTTATCTCCATTTTACAGATGGCAAGCAGAGGCACAGAGAGGTTAATTGACTTGCCCAAAGTCAACGCGGGAGGTCTGGAAGTGATGCCACAACCCCTCAAATCCCTGGCTTCTAGCTTAATCGTAAGACCATCCATCTTCATCCTCTTCACTCTTAGGATTCCCCAGCAGCTGTGATAGCTCAGGCACTCGTGCTGGCAAGCTGCAGTTGGAGACGATGCTGGGAGCCGGGCATTTCCAGTGATTGTTTCTCAACTCCATTTCCCAAGAGGACATCAATTTCGATCTTAAAAGGTACTTTTTTTTTTTTTTTTTTAATTTTAAATTATTTTTTTAAATTCTTCTCTCGTCTTCTTTAGTAACAGTGAGATAAATGTGCTTGAGCATGAGGAAGAGCATTCACTCTTTGGGGAGGCATTTCACAGATGCTGAGGCAAAAGGACTTTTCAACATTGCTTAGATATTGAAGGACATTTTTCTGTGTTTTAATGAACCACTCCTATCAAGCTGATAAGCAGCTTAAGCCCACAGGTAGAAAGCAAGCAGCAACCTTCATTTTTAAGTGGTCACCTGGTAATAGATCCACACAGAGCATTTGAGATTGTCCTTGACAGCCATTCCCCTATCTGTGCTAGCAAGTCTGTGCATGTAGGGCCACTGAGAAATGTGGCCAGGCACGAACATTCCCATCACAATGTCTATTGTTTCCAAAGTGTGAATGGATGAAGCTGAGAGTCCTGGGTGAGCCGCTGATGAACATGGAGCACACATTACTTGCCCTCTGAGACAGAGAAGAAAATCACAACTAAGCCTGCCTCTTTCAATTTACAAGCTTTCTGCAACATCTCCGTTCTTTCTGCTCTCGTTTTCATTTTTTATTAATTACCTGGTG